TCCAAAATCAGCAAATAAAGATCAAACCATTTCAGAACTAAATTCAAAACTAATTCACTCATCAGATCAGAGAAGAACCAGATTTCAGAAAAATAGAGAGAGAAATGGAAGTTTTCTTACCTGTGATAATGGTGGCCCAGAGATCCTTGGTCGATCTAGAGATAATTTCAGAGAGATCAAAGAGGAAGGGCTGAGTCGATCAAAGTGGAATCGCATACGCAGTGACGGTGGTGCTCGTGTGCGATGGCAGTGATGCTCCCGTACCCGACGACGATGGAGACAAAGGCGAGAGAGAGAGCTGGAGGAGGGCAGAGGCATGAGAGAGTGAGAAAGAGAGAGAGAAAATAAAGAAGTAATAAAGTTTCCCTCCGAAGTTTCCCTCAGATATGAAGCACAATTTTTAAATTTTGTAATTATAATCGCCGACTAATATTTAGTCGGTAAAAGTAAAATAACAACAGTCTAAAAAATTAAAATAAAAGTAACAAATATATTAAAATTATTTTTAAATAAAAATATAATGAGTGAATTTTTTTTACACACTTAACCCTCGTTTTGATAATGATATTGAAAAATTGAAAATTTTATTTAAATGATAAATTATTACATTTTAAAAATATTCATTACATTTTAATAATATTACATTTTAATAATATTAATTTTTCATTACAACCCTACAGAAATTACCATTACCTAAAGGAACACTTTACCATTATTAAACAATCGGCTACCAAACTATTTAGTAGCCAAAAGTAGGTCTTTGGCGACTAAAAAGTAATTTAGTCGGTGAATCCCCCGTTTTTGGCGACCAAATTTTGGTCGCCAAAGGTATTTTATAATTTTTTTATTTTCATTCGGCTACCAAACTATTTAGTAGCCAAAAGTAGGTCTTTGGCGACTAAAAAGTAATTTAGTCGGTGAATCCCCCGTTTTTGGCGACCAAATTTTGGTCGCCAAAGGTATTTTATAATTTTTTTATTAAACAATTGGCTACCAAACTATTTAAAAAGGTATTTTATAATTTTTTTATTTTCATTCGGCTACCAAACTATTTAGTAGCCAAAAGTAAGTCTTTGGCGACTAAAAATTCTTTTAGTCGCCAATTGTGATATGTTTAGCTACTAAAAATTTTTTTGTCGCCAATTGTATTAATTTAGTCGGTGAATCCCCCGTTTTTGGCGACCAAATTTTGGTCGCCAAAGGTATTTTATAATTTTTTTATTTTCATTCGGCTACCAAACTATTTAGTAGCCAAAAGTAAGTCTTTGGCGACTAAAAATTCTTTTAGTCGCCAATTGTGATATGTTTAACTACTAAAAATTTTTTTTGTCGCCAATTGTATTTTTTTTAGCTACTAAATTTTTTTTAGTCGCCAATAATCAACATTCCCCTACTAAAAAAAATTAGTAGCTAAAAGGTTAACTTTTGCCGACTAAAATTAATTTTGGTAGCCAACTCCCACACTTTTGGCGACTAAATTTGTTTTGGTAGCCAAAAATGGTTGACAAAAATGTGTTTTCTTGTAGTGAATGATAATCCCTTAATTATCTTCACTTTATTTAATATGTGAATTATCTACAACCTATGTGAACGTTCCATGGTTTATGGGTCGAGTCAAATTTGACTCAATTTCCAACATGTAAAATTCATTAATTTTGTATGAGTGTTTTCATAAATAGTACAAGGGAATAACAATAAGTGATTGCTGTAAAAGTGTATGTATTTATTTGCCATTTTGATCAAACAATATTAAGTTTTATTTGGCATTGTCTAATATAACCAATTTTATGTTAGAATTTTTTTAGCTTGACTTTTTTAGTCTCGATTGGTTTGGATTTTTTTGACTTTTTTGATTTTTGTAAAAGAAAAAGTGCAATGATTATGTATTGAATGTAATATTTTTTCTTATTAACTTATTTAACGTATTTTGTCATTTTGTACTTTTTTAGCCCCAAAATGATAGCCAAACAGGGCTAAAATTCTCTCTTTTATTTATGATTTGAGAAAAAAAAATTTTTAATAAATGGCAAAAATGGACACTGATAAAGAAATCTTGCTTGACAAACTCTTCTTAATAATTATTTCCTTTAATTTTTTATTTTTTTAAATAAAAAAATATTGAGATGGTGAATATTTTCAAATTTTCCATTATTTTTGTTTATGAAAACATAAAAAATAAAATTAACAAATATAAAGACAATATGATGAAATATTTGAATGATGACACTACTCACAAAATTTTCTAGCCACTGAGGGGTTGTTTGGAGTATACTTATTTATCGTTTTAATTTTTTATTGTAATTACATTATCTTTTTATTTTTTATATATTTTTATTATAAAAAAATTTTAAAAATACACTTACTTATATTATCCGAATGCACCTGAACATGGATAGTTGGCTTTGCCGGGGCAGATGGCAGAAGCATATTCAAACCCACTTTTGAGTGGAACTTCCTTCCTATCATCCGCAGGCATCCAGTCAAGTGTGTACCTGAGTAGGGCTGTGCAAGGAGTACGTGAAATCTGTAATTTGATCTAGTTCAGTCTAATTCGATAAGTTTGGATTGATTTTTTAAATTCGCAGTTCGGTTTCGGATTAAAGAATTAAAAATTCATAGTCCACGGATTGGTTCCGGATTGAACCTCACGGTTCCGGATTGGAACCAATTCAGACCGGATATAAATAGTCTATATTTTTATTATACATCCTCCTCCATAGTATCTTCTCTTATTATATATAAAATCTAAACTCAAATCTAAAACCGTATAAAATCTTCTTTTATTACTTTTGTTTGTTAGTTTTTAGTTTTAATTTGTAATGGTTTAAATACTTATGGTGAAACCAGTTTTCTTATGGTTGTTTAAATTCTAGAACAGTATGTCACTATTATAGAAAAACATATTGCTATTGTGGAACTAATATAGCGCTATATTTATATTTTTATGAAATTAAAATGTTATATATTTATATATATTTTTGTTACTTAATTATGTGAATCCGTGGTCCTAAACCGATCCAATCCGTATTTAAATGGATTGGTTCGGATTGGTTCCATGATTTAAACGGATTGGATTTGTTCCAATTTTTCAGGAACCGTAGATAACGGATTGGTCCTGATTTTATCCCAATCCAATCCAATCCGGACTATGCTCATCCCTATACCTGAGATACCAAATTAAGAAACCATCATGCACTAAGTAGTTAAATAAATAATAAATAAAAAGTTGGCCTTTCTCAAATTTAAGTTTGAATTTGATTCTTATTTTAGTTAGTGGGATTTGAAAGGACTAAATAAGAGATGGGTCGGACCCAAGCCTTGGACTGGTCCAATCCCCTAAACCCAAATCCAAATGGGTCAGATAAGCATGCGGGCAACCCAACTAAGTCTAACTTCATTACCAACAGTCCATCCAAGTCCTCAAGCACTTGGGCCCAACTCGCAGTGGAAAGGCTAGTCCAGCTGCGATACTAGGCTAGGGCCGAGCTGCAAGACCCATTCTATGGGCCGAACTGATGGGTCAAACCCATCATCAGAACCAAAGTAGGCCGAATCCGTACACAAATATCCGAATGGGCCAGCCCATCCCAACAGTAGCCTCGCAAAGGGCCGAGCCGAGGCACAACAGTGCCAAGTAGAGGGAACCTCTCAAAGAAACGTGGAAGCTATGAGTATATGCATGTGCAAGTTGCCACCTCAGCTGGTCCCCTACACCTAGAATCACGGAAGCAGTTGAACTAGAGGAATGTGGTTTGTTATCAGCATGACTATAAGCACGTCTAGGCAACTACCGAATGGTCCCCCACCTGGGGCCATGCTAAAAGGAAGCTTGGCAGCACCAGAGCTCTATGAAACCATATTAGGAAACAAGCAAGGAACTCTATATATACTACAGAAACTTCACATTGAAGGTAACTGATCCAAACTGAACTCCACTTACAAAAAAAAAACTCAACTCTCTACACTTCTTCTCCGATCACTGATTCCCACACCGGAGGGGTTATCCGGCCAACCCCGGCCGGGTAGCTTTTATTGTGCTTCTTGCTACAGGAACCTCAATCCTTGGATAGTCCAACCGAGTGCGGAGCCCCGATCCACTTTCATCTAGTGTGGAATCCAGTACACACAATTGGTGCGGTGAGCGTGGATCACTTTGTCTCTGAGCTCTGCACTCAGGTCCGGCGATGGGGATTGAGGACAACCCACCTTTGACACATACTCCACAGACGAAGAAGACAAAGGAAAAAGGCTTGGCACTCCCAACAGTCCTAGAAGAACAATCTGGAAACAACCACCGAACCCCCGAATCCGTCGAGCATCAATTACCCTTCGCCGGAGGTTCTTCTCATCACTTTTTTCTGGAAAAGGATTGCAGAGATCGAATCATAGACTCCATGGGGATGGAGATACAGGAGCTGAAAGCGCAACTTAAAAGGGTGTTGGGTGATCCAACGGAAAAGAAGACTAAAGCAAAGCCCTCTCGCTTACGACGGAGGAGCTTATCCAGAGAACCACCAGTGAAGAAGTTCCCCAGAAATGAGTCTAGGCAGCGAAGCCAGCCAATCCCGATACAGAGTGAAGCGGCGAGCAGCCACTTCCGTGGGTCACGCCGGAGAAGGTCTAAGAGGCAGAAGACGGTTAGCCAACAGACTGAGTACCCTCCTCAAGACCTTCGTACTTGGCTGATTGGCAACAAGTAGAACGAACAACGTCAGGATCATCTAGACCGTACCATTCACCAGAGAGAACATCGAGCGCTGGATAGGCTTGTCTTCTCCCAATTCTCCCCGGAAATTGAGGCCATGAGACCCCCGAAGAAATTCACCCAGCCAAAGTTCACGTCGTACGATGGGAATCAGACCCATTAATGCATATTATTCATTATAGACAGATGATGTCTTTATGGAGCCGAGATGAGGCACTGATGTGCAAAGTCTTCCCGTCAAGCTTAGGAGAAACTGGACTTCGATGGTTCGATCGACTCCCCGCTGGATCAATTTATGACTGAAAAGCAGCTCTCCGAAGAGTTCTTAGCTAGGTTTGTCTCCAACACTAAGATCCCGAAAGAGTCGGATACACTATTCGGTCTCCGAAAGGAGCAGGAAGAAACGCTGCGTAGTTATGCTATGAGGTATTGGGAAGAGTACAATGACTTAGAAGAAAACGTTTGCAGTGAGCAGATGGCTATTATGTCCTTCAAATATGGTCTGTGCCCAGAAAGTAAGTTAAGACAGTCACTTACCAAGCGCCCGCCCACAGCATTGAAAGATTTACGTGCCAGGATCAAGCAGGACGCTCGCCTCGAGGATGACCAGATCCTCATCGAGGAAGCATCAACAGAACAAACAGCTCGGCACAAGAAGAGAACGGACCGAGGGAAACACCAAGGGCTCACAGTGAACGAGGTGGATAAGTCCAAATCTCACGAAGCAATCGTGACCGTATTTAAGGAACCCATCTATCGTATCCTAGAAAAGATCAAGAGGGAGCCCTTCTTTATTTGGTCGCCAAAAATGTTGGGAGATCCAGCTCGGCGTAATCAGAAGCTCAGATGCACCTATCACCAAGACAGGGGGCATATGATTCAGAACTGTAGACCACTGAAGCAACACTTGGAAGACCTAGTAGTAGCTAGGCACCTCCGGGATTACATTGATCAGGATAAAGCAGTGACCGAACCGGGGAACCCACCACCAGAACCGAACATTGAGCACCCACCTCGGCCGATAATAAATGTGATCCATGGAACAGCAACCCAAGAACGTAAAGAGGCACTGAAATAAGAGATTGCTAAGGCTGTGCAAATTCAGCAGGTCATGTCAGTAGAGCCCACGTCAAAAAAGGTACGCACAGCACCCAAATCCCCCTTGTACACTGTTTCATTTACTAGAAAGGATTTAGAAGGCATACAGCACCCACATACTGATGCACTGATTATAACTGTGAGAATTGGGAAATGGTTTGACGTAAAACGAGTCCTGGTAGATCAAGGCAGTGCAGCAGACATATTGTATTATGACTTGTTTAGAAAGCTTGGTCTCTCCGACCAGCACCTCACCCCAGCAGCAGCTCCATTAGTCAGCTTCAATTCACAGCTAGGATGGCCACTTGGCAGAATAGTGTTGCCAGTTGTGGTAGGAACGAAGACCCTCCAGATAGAATTTCTAGTTATTAATACACCATCCCCTTATAACGCCATACTAGGTCGTCCATGGATTCACCGAATGAAAGCAGTCCCTTCAACCTACCACCAACTCATCTGTTTCCCAACGGAACACAGAGTAGAGCAGATCTTAGGGGATCAAGTTGCGTCAAAACATTGTTTCATGGCGGCATTGAAGGCTAATCAACTTTGTAACTGGGTACAGATAGTGGAAGTGGCCGAACAACAAGTCTTGGAAGATGTAGAGGGGGCCTAGAGGAAAATATGGTAGAGGATTTGGAGAAAGTCTTGGTAAAGGAGGATGATCCAGAAAAGTACTTCCTTATCGGCACCTCGCTAGGCGCTGATGAGAAACTTCAGCTACTTGAACTGCTGAGGGAAAATATGGAGGTATTCGCATGGTCAGCATATGATACTCCAGGGCTGAACCCAGAATTTACTTGCCACAAACTCAACATCAACCCTTCAGCTCGGCCTGTTGTACAAAAAAGTCGGAGGTCCTTAGTTGAGCACACTGAAGCAGTAATTGCTGAGGTCGAAAAACTCCTGGCATTGGGAGCGATTAGAGAAATTCAGTACCCACAATGGCTGTCCAATACAATTGTAGTCAAAAAGAAGAACAGAAAACGAAGGGTCTGCGTTGACTTCACCTGCCTAAACAAAACTTATCCCAAAAACAGTTTTCCTCTGCCTCGTACTGGTAGATTCAACGGCAAGGCATGAGCTCATGAGCTTTTTGGACGCTTATAGCGATTACCACCAGATACCACTGTTCGGCTCGGATCAAGAGAAGACAGCATTTATCACTCCAAGGGGCACTTATTACTACAAAGTAATGTCGTTCGGCCTTAAGAACGCTGGAGTAACCTACCAGCGAATGATCACTCGAATGTTCAAGGACCAACTCGGAAAGACCATGGAAGCATATATTGATGATATGGTAGTAAAAACCAAGCTCGCTATGAACCACCTCGCAGACTTAAGAGAAGTCTTTGGTATCCTGAAAAACCATCAACTTCGCCTCAATACCTCGAAATGCGCTTTCAGGGTAGAAACAGGGAAGTTCTTGGGGTATATGGTCACTCACAGAGGAATCGAGGCAAATCCAGATCAGATCAAAGCAATAAAAGAGCTAGAAGTACCAACGAAAGCTAAAGAGCTATAAAAGCTGGCCGGAATGGCGGCCGCCCTGAATTGCTTCATCAGCAAGTCTTCAGACCGGATGAACCCTTTTTTCCAGCTGTTGAGAAAAAAAGAAGCATTTGAATGGAGACCCGAGTGTACCGAGACATTGCAAAGTCTTAAAAGATACCTTAGTACACCACCTCTTCTGTCCACTCCAAAACCAGGAGAGGAGCTGTACCTATATCTATCAGTCTCAGATCACGCCGTAAGCGCGGTATTAATTCGAGAAGTTAACAAGGAGCAGAGGCCAGTATACTATGTTAGCAAGACTTTACTAGATGCCGAGACACAGTATCTACCCTTGGAAAAGTTAGCTTACGTGCTGCTTATCGCCTCAAGAAAATTGCAACATTACTTCCAGGGGCATACCATCAATGTCCTCACCGAGTTCCCCCTCAGATCTGTATTCAGCCGAGCTGATTTCTCTAGCCGAACAGCAAAATGGGCGGTAGAACTTGGTGAGTTTGACATTCAGTACCAACCCAGGACAGCAATCAAGGCCCAGGTCTTGGTAGATTTCATCGCAGAATTTGCTCCCACCCAGAGTACCGAGCCAGGGAGTTGAAGTTCGACACAGGTGCTACGCACCACCGAACAGGAAAAGCACTGCGCTTCGGAAGCATAGAAACTCTTTATTGGAAACATCTGGCAGCTCTATGTCGACGGATCATCCAATAACCGAGGCTTGGGGGCAGGAGTAGTACTTAGCTCACCAGAGGGATTTATTTGGGAGCAGGCTCTCAGGCTCAGTTGGAAGGCCTCTAACAATAAGGCGGAATACGAAGCATTGCCGGCTGGCTTACACAGTGCCGAACAGTTCAGTACAGAACAACTTTTTGTTTTCAGCGACTCACAACTGGTGGTAAACCAACTTTCCAGGTTCTATGAAACACGAGACGAAAGAATAGCTATGTACGCAGGGAGGGCCAAAGATCTACTCAAAAAAATTTGATCCATATGAGTGGAACGAATCAGTTGGGACAAAAACATCCATGCTGATGCTCTGGCTTGCCTCAACTCGTCAGTAGATACTAAAGATGCTAGAAAAGTTTGGGTTGAGTTCGTGCTAGAACCAAGCATTGTATCTTCAGTCCTTTGTAGCAACTTAGAGCCAAGCTGGATGGATCCGATACTTGCTTTTCTAAAATCTGGCACTCTCCCCGAAGATAAAAAGAAAGCCAACAAAGTCAGACACAGGTCAACTCGGTTTTGGATCTCACCATCTAGGAAGCTGTACAGATGCTTCTATCTCGGCCCTTATCTTCTATGCGCGTATCCAAATCTGGTCGAAAATGTTCTCTACAAAATTCACGATGGGATTTGTGGATGCCACGTTAGTGGAAGGTCACTGGCACACCAGGCCCTCACTCACGGGTACTGGTGGCCACGGATGCAACAAGATGCACAACAGTACATTCAGAAGTGCGATAAATGTCAGAGGTTCGCTCCACTAATTCATTAGCCAGCCAAAACTCTTACTCTACTCACCAGCCCGTGGCCCTTTACCTAATGAGATTTGGATATTGTCGGACCATTGGCACGAGGCACTGGGAACAGACGATTTTTCATCGCTCCAACCGACTATTTCACTAAGTGGGCTGAAGTCGAAGCACTAGCAAGTATCAAAGAAGTAGACCCAAAGCGGTTCGTCATGAGGAACGTAGTAGTGCGTTTCGGCATCCCGCGGGTACTGATTGTAGATAATGGAACACAGTTTGATGGGAAGATCTTCAGAAAGTTTTGTGCTGACCTCATAATCGAATATCGGAACTCTTCTCCAGGGGTACCCACAAAGTAATGGATAGGCAAAAGCGTCAAAAAAACCATTATCAACGGAGTAAAGAAACGGCTTGAACATGCAAAAGGAAAATGGGTAGAAGAGTTACCCCACGTGCTATGGGCGTACCGAACCACAGCACGGCTCTCAATGGGGGAAACACCTTACTCCCTGACTTATAGAATGGAAGTCATCATTCCACTTGAAGTAGGTCTCCCAACCCTCCGATTTGAATTGTTTGAAAGCACCAATAATGAGGAAGCTATTGCACAAGCACTGGATATGGCATAAGGCCAAAGAGAAGCCGCACTGATCAGACTTGTAGGATATCAGCAGTAGCTCATCAAGAGTTTCAACCAAAAAGTTTTCCCAAGACAATTCACACTTGGAGAATTGGTTTTGAGGAAAGTCATGGATTACAAAAGGGTGTCTGGCGAAGGAAAACTCAGGCCTAACTAGGAAGGCCCCTACAAAGTCACAGTTGTTGCTGGAAACGGAGCTTACTACCTAGAGGATCTCAAAGGCCGAGCCATACCTCGACCCTAGAATGTAACAAATCTCAAGAAATACTGTCAATAGAATTAAGCCCCAACTTCTCTATCAAGATGTAAAGGTATTTATCTTTTGGCCAATACAAATGCCTCCCCACTTCTCTCAAGACTGTCAAATTTTTGTAATTAGCTTTGGTGTCCACCAAACAGAATTAGCTTTGATGTTTACCAAACAAAAATTAGCTTTGATGTTTATCAAACGGAATTAGCTTTGGTACATACCAAATAGAAATAGCTTTGATGTTTATCAAACGGAATTATCTTTGATGTGTATCAAACGGACTCAGCTTTGGTCTTAACCCAAATGGACTTAGTTTCAGAACGGCTGAACGGAATTAAAATTCAGTTAGCACTCAAACATGCCAAGTGAAACTACTTGGTGGACTTATGTTTGGCAACTAAATTGGACTTTAGCCTAGTGGAATTACTTGGTGGAAACCGCACTAACACATCTTAAGTAAACATCTCTGAATCTACAAAATCTCTTAAGTATCGTCACATCAACACTTCAGTACTGCTGCATACAAACAGAGTTGGAACAGACTAAGGTAGACTCTATTAGGAACAAACTTTCAGCACTAGTCTTACTCAACTCCAACTGGGGGCAAACAATTGTTTTCTTTCAAACCAACCTGGACCTGAGTAAGACACCTCTTCATATCTTTATCCCATTCAAGTACACTTATAATATCAAAGTTGCAACAGATTTAAGCAGTTCTGCCTAGAGAGCACAGTCTTCAGCACAGATCTTACTTAGCTCCAGGTGAGGGCAAATAATTGTTTTTTAGAACCAACCTAGACCCAAGTAAGACCCTCTTCCTTTCATTACAAAACCAAGTATAGCCATGCAACATATTCGTTAACCAGACCGAGCATCTGTTCGGCCCCGATGTCCTAATAGAGCTCGGCCAGGGGCAAATAGTATAAAACTAGATGGAGCATCTATTCGAAACAATACAGAACCAGACCGAGCATCTGTTCGACCCTGGGGTCCCAACAGTGCTCGGCCGGGGCCAGACAGTACAGAATATATTCAGATGTAAAAGCCAGAAAGTATCCGATTGCAAAATCAAAAGGAAAATTCCATCATCCAACAAAGGCACAGATGGCCCTATAGCCAACAACAAATAAAAGGAAAAAAGAAGAGAAAAACTGTCTTTGCAAGTATAAAGCGAGAACTCGTCAAGGGGACCGAGCCACAGTACATTAGAAACATGAAAACAAAAGAGAGTCCAAAAAGCAAAAACTTCAAGTCTTTCCAAAGAAAACTTCAACTTTCATCAACAGAGGGAACCTCAGGAGCAGTGTCCACAATCTTGTTTAGGCCGTCTTGGGGAGGAAAAGTAGAGACAACTCCAACTTCCTGAGAAGTGAAAACTACCTTAACCACGTCTCCCGCGGCTTCAGTCTCCAGGGTTCCACCCCCTTCAACGTTCACCGTCTTAATGGCAACATCACTCTCCTGAGTCTTGTTTACAGAATCAATTTCTGGGGAAACCTCAGCCGGAAGAACTGCAGGGGTAGAGACAATCTTTGAACCCAGGGACCTTGAGGGAACTGGGACATCCTGAAACAGGGAAGAACCTTCAGGAACCAGGGCAGCGGCTAGAGCACTCGACCAACCCTTCAGAAAGAGTTTGTCTCGCAGGACCAGCACCTCCTCTTTATAGGCAGCCCCAGCATCATCCCAACCTTGTTTCCAGTACTTGGCCTTCAACGCAAAACGCTTGGCAGCTATCACTGCGATAACGGCCTCCAGCTCTGCCACTTTTCCTTCAAGTTGAGCCTGCTCCCCAATAGCAGCCTCCTTTGACTTTTCAGTTGAAGCAACAACCTTGTTCAGACGGAATGCCTCCCTTTCGGCAGTTCTGCGTCCTTCCTTCTCGGCTTCCAGGCCCACTGTCAGTCTCTCAGCATTCATAGTGGCCTCCAGTACGGTCTTTTCCAGTTCCTCTGTTCGGGTGATGGACAGATGTATCCTCTGAATACACTACAACGGATTACAAAGTATTAAAAGAAAGAAGGCAGCAGTATAACACCAAAAACAAGCAAAGCAAGAACGCACTTACAGCTGTCATCATCTGAAGGGTCCCTTTCAAAATAGGAATATTGCGGGGCCCATTATGGTCAGCCATGTCCATCGGCATCAACAGAGTCTTGGTCAAGTCAAAAGCAAAATCTTTGGAAGCAACAACCGAATCAGAGATAGAAATGGGCCTGCCTTAATGTAGCATCGGCGGTTCCCATTTCTCAAATATTTCGTCTTCAATAGGATCTTCAGAAACTTCTCCAACCACTGCCTTGCCAGTCTCTCTCCTCATCTTCTTTGCGCACGCAGCAACCGAAGTGGAGGGCTTGGCAGTAGTAGCATGAGTTCCAGAAGCTCCTACCTCCAGCTTCACATCCATGAGGCTCTTCGCCTCGACTTTCAACAAAGGAGTCTCCAAGGCATCAGAGGCGCCAAAAGCCTCGGCCTCCAAATCCACCAGCACTCTTCTCTTCGACACAGACCCGCCCCCTACGAAACTAGGGACAGGAGAGGGCGTCTTCTCAGGCAGTGCACCCTAGCTTCGGCGGTGATTTGTAACTAGAGGGGTGAGAGATGTATCAGTGTCAGTGTCAGAATCTATAAGGGATGCCGCAAGCTTCGCCTTCTTCGAAATGACGGAACGATAAGTCGCTTGGTAATCCAACAACTCTGGTGCGAACTCTTCTTGTACCTCAGAACGGCTTTGATGGCCTCAGCGTTTTCTCGGTTCGGCCTGCACTGAAAACGGAAAGCCTCTGCAAAAAAAAAAAAAAAAAAAGGGGGGGTACCACATTAAAGCAACATCCAAAACAAAGGCAAGAAATACAAAAGACACTAGAGGAAGGATTCGAACCTCGATAGCCATCCTTCAGGGGAATCCGTTCGGACTGGAATTCAGTCCTAGCAGGGAACTCCCAGTTGCCACCAACTTGCAGAAAATCGTCATTGTGCTTGTCTGAGTCAAGCAAACCAGTCACCAGATGACAATCGATCGAACGAACACGCAGGTAGTACGTGCTATGATCCTTGTTGTGCGAGAGAGTGTAGCAGCCCAAAATGTCCCAAATATCGAGATTCAAACCCAACTGCTTGTTGAGAGCGGACACCCCACAGACGACACGAAACAGGTTAACAGACACTTACATTGGGGTGAGTTGAACCTGGTGCAGAAATCGGCGCACCAAAGGGTCGAGGGGAAACCGAACCCCTCCCTTAACGATGGATGCAATCGAAAAGGCGGCAGTATTCCTAGTGCCCATACGCTTGGCATCGACCCTTGCCAGCGAAAGGGTCACATCAGCGGGGATGTTATAGTCACGACAAAACATGGCCATGGCCTCGGGAGTATCAACTAACGAGCGAAACTTTCCCATTAAACCAAACCTAGTGGTACTGGGGTAGAACTCAGATATTAAGATGTGGAATATAACGGTGCAAGGGCCAAACGAGATGATTGAAAGAGAAAAAGACAGGGGAAAAAGGATCACAAGAGAACTTACAGAGATCAGAGCAACGGTGGCGAACGAGCAGTGCTGAAGCAAGAGCGGCGGTGGAACGTCTAGACAGAGCACTAATGAGACTGGCTCAGAGGAACGGAAAGGGTTTTTTTTTTTTTGAAACTCTCTAAAAGAACGAAAAGCAGATAAAGGGTTTTGGATTGACAGCCCAGAGCATTTATTGCAACAGCCGGGGTGAAGGTACACGAAGCACGATCGTTGGTATGGAATCGACGCACTATCTCTGCACATCTATCCCACACCGCCACGTGTCACCATGAAAGAACGCATGCAGCGGTTGTGTGTCAGGATTGAACCGTCATCAAGGCCGAACCGAAGCAAAACTGAGGCGACGTGAGGCTTGGAGTGCAGAACAATAGCTCCCCCCAAGGGAAACCTTAGCGTGAGCTAGGAGGCAAATGAAGGGACTAAATAAGAGATGAATCGGACCCAAGCCTTAGACCGGTCCAATCCCCTAAGCCCAAATCCAAATGGGTCAGATAAGCATGTGGGCAACCCAACTAAGTCCAACTTCATTACCAACGGTCCACCCAAGTCCTCAAGCACTTGGGCCCAACTCGCAGTGGAAAGGCCAGTCCAGCTGCGATACTGGGCTAAGGTCGAGTTGTAGGACCCATTCTATGGGCCGAACTGATAGGTCGAACCCATCATCAGAACCAAAGTAGGCCGAATTCGTACACAAATATTCGAATGGGCTAGCCCATCCCACCAGTAGCCTCGCAAAGGGCCGAACCGAGACACAATAGTGTCAAGCTGAGGGAACCTCTCAAAGGAACGTGGAAGCTATGAGTATATGCATATACAAGTTGCCACCTCAGCTGGTCCCCTACACCTAGAATCACGGAAACAATTGAACCAGAGGAATGTGGTTTGTTATCAGCATGACTATAAGCACCTCTAGGCAACTACTAGATGGTCACCCACCTGGGGCCATGCTAAAAGGAAGTTTGGCAGCACCAGAGCTCCATGAAACCATATTGGGAAACAAGCAAGGAACTCTATATATACTACAGAAACTTCACATTGAAGGTAACTGATCCAAACTGAACTCCACTTACAAAAAAAGCTCAACTCTCTACACTTCTTCCCCAATCACTGATTCCCACACCGGAGGGGTTATCCGGCCAACCCCGGTCGGGCAGCTCTTATGGTTCTTCTTGCTGCAGGAACCTCAATCCTTGGATAGTCCAACCGAGTGCGGAGCCCCGATCCACTTTCGTTTAGTGTGGAATTCGGTACGCACAGGATTTATAATGGGTCTCATTTTAATAATTTAAATTGTTTATTTTATAGGTTCCTCTATATATATATATATATATTATCTATGAAAAAATATGTCAATATGAATCGCTCATTTTATCGCATTTCTCTCCAAAATAATGTATTTTATTTTTAAAAAATACATCTATTTTCTATTTTTTTGAAAAAAAATATAATAAAATAAAAATGTTATAATTATTAGATTAGCTAAATTTTTAGTATAAAATCTGAGTGTATTGTTGGGAAATGTCTTTGTAATAATATTTTAATAGAAAATCATGAATGACAAAATTTAGAGAAAATGAATGAATTTTTTGGTTGGAAATTTAATGATGCTAAACAAGTATGACCATGAGCTAGTTATACTTTCTGTGTTGCCCCTTCCTTTACTTATTACAGACAATACTACGTACAACTAATTAGGCCTAATTTGATTAGTCATTATCATTTTTTTAAGGGTTTAGTCCTTAGAAAGAAGTAATAAGTTCAACTCTCACCAGGGAGCGTTGAATTAAAAAAGTTAACACTTAATACTTTGTACAGGGTAGGAAGAAGACTAACTTTCATATGCATTAATTCAACAATTAACAATTGACTTTTGTCAAAAAAAAAAAAAAAAAAAAAGAGAGAAAAGAAGGGGCTACTACACACCACACCCCCCAGGTGATTATTAGATGTCCTTAACTAATAATTTTTTAATCATAAAAACAGAAAATTAAGCCATTAATTTAATTCACAACCAACAAAACTATGATCATAATCAAATATTACTATATTTATAATGAAAAACAATCTCCATAGCTAATAATCAAATAGAAAATGAGTTAGACCTTTTTAGAGAACTTCTACAATTTCTAAAGTGATCCACACCACTCATGATGTGTGGGACTCACTCATATATGTGTGGGCCCACATCATGAATAATGTGGATCACTTTGAGAGTTGTGAAGGTCCTCCAAAAAGAGGGTCTCTATCTTTGTTGTAATCAAATACCACTATGGCACTATTTGGGAAGAAATTTTTTTGGTTTTTTTTTTTTTTGGTTTTTTTCCACTAAAAGACAAATTGGTTACAAAACCAAAAAAAATAAATCCAAACAAAATATCACATCAAATCCCATAATTATTTCACTTTTTCTCTCACAAACATCACATCCAACTGCAAAAAAACCTAACTATCTTTTCAAACATAAAAAAAAATTCTTCAATAATATTCTACAACTAAAAAAACCTACAAAAAACTTACTTCTCAAACACCCACTATGTATTATAACCAAATATTATTAAATTTATAACCTATTTAAGTTTGACGTTTAAATGTCTCACAATCATTTTAAGTCACAATATAACATAACCAAAATCACTATTAGAGTCATGACTATGTTATCTAGAACCTATATCATTTCAGTACGTGGAATAGAAATAGAATAGCACGTCAAACGCTCTAAAATACAATACAATAAGAGTAAATTTGTATAAATTACACTATAAAAATTTAAAAAATTTTAGAATAATTTTCTTTTTACAATTCGACGTTTAATAAAATGTTGTTCATTTTGAACCATTATTGATGCTGTGTTCTATCAAAACTTTATCCAACTTATATTTTAGTCTATTAAATTTGAATTTTTGTTTTTTACTCGTAAAAAAACTTTGAAGAAATATATTGTAAAAAAATATATTAGAATTGTTTTAAATCGCTAAATTTACAATTTTAAAATGAAAATATTTCATATTTCAGAACATCCGTCTTAATACATAATTCGCTAAGATACGAATATTTTTAGTAACACTTGATATAACTAAGTTTATAGAATTTTCCTTTCACATCACACTTGTTTTTATCAGCTTGTGATGCTCATCTCCAAACCAATTTTAATTCGCTAAGATACGAATATTTTTAGTAACACTTGATATAACTAAGTTTATAGAATTTTCCTTTCACATCACACTTGTTTTTATCAGCTTGTGATGCTCATCTCCAAACCAATTTTAAGGATAAGAGAGATTACAAATTTATAAGATTCCACCCAATAGTTCTTGGAATTTGAAGTTAATGAAAACATCTAGTTACTAGAAAATGTCATTTTTACATTGATTACAAATTGGGTGACCCGATGGGTTTTCCTGGATCCATAATTTCTTTTATCACAATGTTTCTGGCTCTGTTGATGGTCATGAAACACAAGTACAAGTGTTCCTCTAACTCATCAAGTTGTTGTCTAAAGCTAGAGTTATTCTTTTTCAGCTGGCGCGCCACTTCTCCACTGGCTTGGAGCCGATCTTGTCCCCGCTCTAGCCAAAACTTGACCATGGTTCGCATATGCTCCAACTCATCATTTACTCGAGCCATCAGCCGACTTATTGTATCTAAGTCCCTGTTCAGTATATAAGTCCCTTTAGCGGCTTCATCGAGCTGGACTGACAACCTAACTGCCTTCCTGGTTGAAGCTAACTCAAGCGTAGCTGCTATAAGACCCGGTGCAGCCACCAACAAAGCTAAAGCATGAGTTGCAATAATTGTCGTCAAAGAAACTGTGAAAACCACAAGAAAAATGGCTGAGCTGCGCTTTAGCTTATTAATCAGCTGCAGTTTGGCTTGGACCTTATCACGACTTGACTCGAGTCGTTTAAGTAAGTTCGTGCAAGTAGCTTGTACGGCTCGAAATCGATGTTGAGATGAAGCCGTTGAGACAAATGGGTTAAAGAAATTGGAGAATTCAGTTAATCGGGTCAATATGATGGGCAAGTGGTTTTCGGGTGTGGTTTTAAGGGAACGATACTTGACCCGTATGTGGTCGATATCCTTTAAAAGAAGACCACATAAGACGGAAGCATCGGCAGTTTCTACGAAATAGTCGGATAAGAGGGAATGGTCTTTCGGGTGGTTTTTGGCCGAAGCAAGAACTCGAGTGACCGTGGATTGATCCGGATCCAAGAGATGCTCCGCAAATACTCGATATGATGGGAGACGATCTGCTGTAGTCGACCCCATGGTTTTACAATTGATGGATTCTGTAGTAGTCAATGCTAAGACACGTGTCCAAAACTCATTGTATGATTCGGTGCGGAAAGCATTCGCATACTCTTCACGGACATCCACTTCGGTATAAGGGGTCGAAACATCGGATCGGAGCACTACATAATAATATCCACAACAATAAATGAGAAACCAACCAAATTTCAAAAATAAACTAAATCATTTGATATGAAACCAATCCATATAATCTAACTTGGATTTAGACTTCTTTTTTTAATCAAATAAAGAGTCATCAGATGGAAAAACAAATCAAACAATTTCCAACTCAATTTTTGTTCAATTCATTACGCAATTAATCCAAATATGAATATATTTTAAAATTTATTAAATGTTAATTTACTATTCAGCTAGATGTAATTGACTACACTGTAAAAAAATCAAAGTATTTGAATTTGACTTATTCAGTTTGATTAAAATTCGTTCGAAATTAATTTAAAAAATAAACAAACAAACTAAAATAATTTAACCACTCAACTCGACTTATTAACAATACTAATTTGTACGCATAAATTCCCAATCATGTGACGATAAATCCTTCATCCAATATTTCTATTTCATGTCTATAGTTTCATTTATCATAATTTGTTGTTCATACCAAAAAAAAAAAAAAAAAATAGAAGTGAAATGAAATTCATTAAAAAATAAATATAAATAAATAAATATATATCTCTTTGAAGTGGCATGTGACTTACAGACTCCAATTAAACATTCACCCACCAAGATTAATTGCGAGTGTGGGCCCATTATAGGCGGACCTTCCAGCCCGACCCACCTTTGAAGGAATTGCCAACTAAAAACCTCCTCTCTGCAAATTCAATCCAACTCACTGACCCAACATGAAATTCTCTCCAACTACTTTGGTTGCTAAGGTACCATTCACTCCAACTCACTGACCCAACCAGAAATTCTCTCCAACTACTTTGATTGCTATTAATGGATATATGGTATATATTTCTACATATATTAAGTATTGACATTTTAGATATATTATGTATTGTCATAGTTAGGTTTCTTATAGTTCTCATAGTTAAATTTCTAATAGGATACTCTTTCTCAACCTATATATGCAGGCCTTCTATTGTATAGGATAAATTCATTAAATAAAATACAGTTCATATATTTTTTTTTTCTCTCTGTACTATTCTAACATAGTATCAGAGTTATAGATTAAGCTTTTGGTATTTTTTGCCTTACTGGCAGGCGGCGGCAACCTCGCCTTGACCACCCGCCCGCCAGACCTCAATCCATTCCGCTATGATATTTCCATTTCAATATCGCTTTATGGTGATCTCTTCCTTTATCCGTTGGTTTATTTCTGCCATAAATATCTCTATCATATATATATATTTGCTTGCAATTCTTTTTTTCTTTTCTTTTTTTTTGTTTCTGTTCCATTTTGTCTTTCTCTGTTTTAACTTCAAATAGGTTTTTATCTTCAAACCTATTTAAGTTTAAGGGGAGATATTATACCTATATCATGGTGAACATGGTTATACACCATGCGAACCACCCAAGCCGCCCCCTCTGGCGCATAATCCAAGCGTCTTCTCTGGCGCACAACCCAACCCACCCCTTTGGTGCACAATCCAAGCCGTCTCCTAGTACACTCAGTTATCTGTTGCCATCATCGTTCAACACCACGTTATAAGTTATGAGTGTGCCACGGTTACTGGTTCAACATCCAGTTCTTTACATCGGTCAGGCATGACCCCGTTAAACTATCTCGAAATTGATTCCGATTAGCCAATCTCTACAACAGTCCGGTATGAGCCCCCGTAAACTGTCCCAACATTGATTCTAGTTAGCTCCTATAACAGTCCAACATGACCATAAACTGTCTCCCGGCATTAGTTTCGGCCTCTGATCTCAGTATTAGTTCTAACCAGTTTCTATATCGGTCCGACACAACCTTAAGCTGTCATGGCATTAGTTTCAGTCAGTTCCTACAATGGTTCGACATAACTATAAAATTGTCTCCCGACATTAGTATCGGTCTCTGATCTATTTCAAGTGCCCTTGCACTCTCGTTCGGATTTTGCAATCTATTTGCTTTTTATTTTAATTAGTTTTATTTCATGTTTTATTTTCTCTCTCTAAACTCAAGATGTTTATCCTTCTTGAGTTTAAGAGGGGGATGCTAATGTATATATGGTATATATTCCTACATATATTAGGTATTGATTTTCTAGATATATTAGGTATAATCATAGTTAGCTCTCTTATATGATACTTTTTCTCATAGTTAGATTTCTAGTAGAATATTTTTTCTCAGCCTATATATACAAGTCTTTTATTATATAAAACAATTCATTCAATACAATACATATATTTTTTTTTTCTCTCTCTACTATTCTAACAGTTGCTAAGGTGTCATACCCATACATACACATACATTCGTTAATTAATTAAATATGAATGATTCTATTTGCACCTAAATAATAATTAAATATGTTCAATTAAAATTTTGAAATTTATCCTACTTTAAATTTCCTTATAAAGGCAATACATATTAAATCACAAAATTAAATATTTTCTTTTCATGATATACCAAAGCATTTATACGTAATTTCATATTCAATTATTTTTATCTTCTTCTCCACTTACCATTTTTTCTGTGTTTTGGATTAAGGATGTTGGCAACTGGAATTTAAACCCAGATTTGAGTTGGGTAGCTGTTTTTTATTTTTCCCTGAAAGCGATCTGTTATTTTTTTTCCAAAAAATAAACCATTCAAATTTCTTTGTAAATCTTTTGCTATTGTTTTGAAAATTTAATTTTATTATTATTATTATTTTTTTTGTCAATCTTTATATTGTTGAACTATTGTTGCTGCTGAAAATTGACAAATGGGTTTGCTACAATATATGCATAATATTACTGGGTTTTGATACTAGTGAAGCAGAAGAGAAAAGGAGAAGAAGATTAAAACGAAGTTCGCCGGAATTTATGGTGTTGTCGGAATCTATGGGATCACTGGAATCCATTGTCAGTTGCTGCACATGATAAAAAATTTGATGAGTGTTTTGGTAAGACTTTGGGATTATGGAAAGAGCTTGGTTAAAAAGGATGGGTGGTGGTCTTCGTGGATGTTGGGTTTGGAGGAGGTATTGTGATGGAAAAGTAGAAATTGCAGAGCAGAGGCAACGAGAGGGTAGAGATGGCAATTTAAAACCGGCTCGACGAGGACTCGATCCCCTGATCCTGATTAGAATGGATTTTTTTCAAAAATTATTCCCATAGGGTTGGGGATGGTATTAAAAATTGAATCCCTGATAATTTTCGGGCCGGGGACGGGGATAGATTTCCTAGCCCCGGCCCTGCCCCGACCCCGGCCCGATTTATCCTCGACAATTGCCCCGAATATTCCCCGAATATACCTAAGAGATATATATGTTTTGATTTTGACTCTGCTCTCTAGTCATTCACATTTTAATATTATTTCAGCCCCCCTCTCTCTCTCTCTCCCTCCCTCCCTCTGCGCGCAGTGCTGCTACTCATGGCGTCGTCCGATCTCCCTTCTCCTCCATTATCTTCGGCCGATCTCCCTCCTCCGCTGCTGCTACTCATCACGACATCCTCCTCCATCGCCTCTCGCGGGCCGGTCTCCTCCTCCGTCGCCTCTCGCCTCCCCCTCTCTCTGTCATGGCAGATCTGAAAAGATCACTCTGCCACCGTCGATTGCGTCCTTCTCTGCCAGATCTGTTTCTATCTATTATTTATTTATTTTTAATTTTTTTTTGGTTGATGATGTTGCTGCCAAAACCCCCTTTGACCCAAACATACTGATACTAGACTTGGCTTTCAAATAATTTGTGTTTGATGCAAAACTGTTTGTACATGCCTTGATAAGTTGATATTGTTGATGAAATTTTTTTTTATTTTTTTATGATGCTGTTGCTGTTAATGTCTTTGTTGATGAAAATTTTTTTTTGGATGATGTTGATGATGATTACGGGGATTTTCCGGGGTCGGGGAAACCCGATCCCCGTTGGGGGCGGGGGTGGGGGGAGTGGTGTGTTCCCCGTCGGGGATCGGGGCCGGGGACGGGGATTTTTGTAGTTTCGGGGATCGGGGACGGGGAGGGTGATCCCCGGCCCCGCCCCGCCCCGTTGCCATTCCTATTTACGACTAGTTGTATTTTCAATGGTTATTATTTAAAAGACGAAGGAGCAAGACTCTTTTATTTATAGGTTTTAAATATTTTTGTTTATTTCATTTTTGTCATCATGTTTTTTTACTCAGATTTGGAGAGAGATTTACATCACTAAATAAACTTACCCCAAACCATCCCTAAGTATTTGATGATATAAGTAGGTCAAATTATTGAAATATATATATATATATATAATATATAAAAAATAAATTATAATTCTAAATAATTTAATGAAATATATTAAAAATTTTAAAATACTTCATAATTTTTTGGGCCAAATAAAATCTCCCATACATTACTTGCTTGAGGATAGTTTAGCTGCATTTTTTTAGCCTATTATTTGCTTGTTAGCATTTTTTATTTATTTTTTAATAAAACAAATTATTTTCCCTATGCACCAATGATATTTTCATTACCCTACGTGAATTGTTTTGGGGGCAGTTGCGCACAATAATCACTGTTATATAATTTATTGGGCTCATTTCAAAACTCATTTTGGACTTTATTTCGATAATTTGAATTATTCATTTTTTAGAAGATATTGAGTATAATATATGTACAAAAAATTAAAATGATCATATATTGGTAATCCTTTCATCAAATATCCTTTATATCTAAAACAAAATAAATAGTGAGTATAATTTAAAGGGGGTACTTTTTCATAAATCTCTTTTTACCTACTTATATTCCATTTATTCCACATTATTTTCTTATGTTCCAATAAGAGGGGTCTTTATTTACACATCACATTTGGTCTCAAGGCACATCACTTACTTAATGCACACCAAACACAATTTTAACTTTATTATTTTTGCTCAATACACACTATTCATTTTCAAATATACCTAAACTATCCTCATCTTCTTCGACCACCCCACCAACCCTAACCCTAACCTTAACCACCGTCACTCATCGCAGGTCGTCGTCTCTCCCTTCTTTTTCTCC